TCGAGCTAATGTGAACACATTCTCTTTAGTTCATTCCATGTGATCTTTTCATTTGGTTAGTGGGTTAGGACCAATGATAACCCTTCTTAGCTTTGGATAAATCTTCTTAATCTCAGTCCAAGTTGTAAAATATAAAAACACTTTGGTATCAATATCTCATAAAAAAATACAATTAAAAATAGGTAAGAATGATATGTAATTCAAAAAGAGAAAACATAAAGTAAAATTAAATAATTTTCTTATTGCCTATTCAAAAAGTAAAGGAAATTATAAGATATATTTTCAAAGCATTTAAAGGAACTTAGTAATATTGTAAGAATAATATATAATCCAAAAAGAAAAGGATGCAAAATGAAAATTACATATTTTTCTTATTACCTATTGTAATATATTTAGTAAAGTCATAACACAATCAAGTAGTTTAACAATAAAAGAGTTAATAATACCTATAGTCCCTAAACTTTGACCCAAATTCTATTTTGATCCTTAAGCTTGAAAAAGTTTTAATCAAATCCCTAATTGCCTAAAATTATTCTATTTTGATCCTTCTATCTATAGAATTGTCAAAATTAACTGCAAATGCCAACTGGCAATACATGATGACATCAGCTAGCATCTAACATAGCAAAAAAAGGACCAAAATATAATTCTCTAAAAGTTTAGGGACTAAAGACGAAACTATCTCAAAATTTTATAATTTCATATATATTTTATAAAATATTAAATTTAAAATTATATTTTTATAATTTTGTTATAATATAATTTATTAGTTATATATTTTGTTTTTAATAGAAAATAGTTTTTTAAAAATTAAAATTAAGTTCAAAATTCAAATTCTTTTTTTAATTCAATATCATTTTAAAAACAAAAAAAATTATTTTCTACTAAAAATATTATTTTACTCATATATCATAATGAAAATATTATTTTTATCCATAAAATATATTTTTAAAATATTAAATATATTTTCTTTTCCTTTTTCAAATATATTTTATAAAAATAAATAAAGGAAAATATAAAAAAATTCAAGAAAAATTGATTTTTATATATTTCAAATATATTTTATAAAATATTATATTTTAAAATATTTTTTAATTTTTATTATGATATGATTTATCAATAAAAATAATATTTTTAATTAAAAATAAGTTTTTAAAAAATTTAAATTAAGTTGAAAATTTCAAAATAATTTTGTTAAAATTAATATTATTTTAAAAAGTTAAGTAAAAAATTTTAGATTGATTTAAGAAATTAAATAAAATTTTTTTATCATGCTAAAATATTATGCAAAATTTTTCAAATCGTTTTCAAAAATAAATTTATTAATCTATTCAAAAATATAAAAACTTTTTATTCATATAAAATTAAAAAAATAATTTAAAACATTTTTATAATTTTCTTTTTTAAAACCTATTTTATAAAATATATTTAAAAAGGAAATTAAAATATTTTTTATATTTTAAAAAATGAATTTTTGGATAGAAAATAATATGTTTTATTATGATTTATGAGTAAAATAATATTTTTAATAATATTTTGTTTTTAAAATGCATTAAATTTTTTAAAAAAAGAATTTGAAATTTTTAACTTAATTTTAAGTTTTGAATATCTATTTTTAATTTAAAACAAAAATCTATCTAATAAGTTATATTATAACAAAAAAATATAAATACAAATATAAAGATAATATTTTTATAACATATATATAAAATATATAAAATTTTGAGATATCTTCGTCTTTGGTCCTTAAACTTTGAGAGAATTCTATTTTTATCTCTCATCTGTCATGTGATATGTTAGTTGATGTCATTATATGGTGTCAGCTAGCATTTGTCATCAAACGGTTTCATAGATTGAATAACCAAGATAAGATCACTTTGGGCAATTAGGAATCTAATTAGAACTTTTTAAAATTTAAAAATCAAAATAAAATTTGAGTCAAAGTTTAAGGATTACAAATGCTATTAACTAATAATTAAATCCTACATCGTAAAGGTTAACAAAATTACAAGATATATTATCAAAGAATTTAACAAATTTAATCATTTGATAAAAATAATATGTAATTCAGAAAGAAAAACATGTAAAATAGTACTAAATCATTTTTTGTTATAGATGTCACAAAATAAATAATTTGATAACATATTATTGTAATCCTAATATTATAAATAATACTATTTTGTATCATTCAACGTAATATGTTTTGTAATTTGGTAATAATTAATTAAATGTAGAAGCTACAATAAACTAGCAATACCATTTTGTATTAGCATTGGTTGACAAATTATATATGTAAATCATGTAACTATTTCATGAAATGATAACAAAAACACAATGTTTCTAAATTTTCTTATCTTTTATAAAAGATGTTATAGAGAACAAAAATATGTAATGTTAACATTATAAAAATTATAGTATTTTACCTGACGTTATAAAAATTTAAAAAATCATAATTTGTTATTTAAAAATGTAAAGATAATAAAAATATTAAAATCATGTTTTTTACATTCTTAACAATATAAGTAAATTGTCTTTTAAAAACAATATAAATAAATTGATAAGATAGTAATTGTCAAATATCAAATGTAAATTGCACCCAAAAAAATCAAATTGTAATAGATGAGATTTCATATAATGCTTTTATTTCTACAAAATGTAATTTATAACTCCTCTTAATATTTTCATTTTGTATTCATCAAAACAATAAAGTGTTCAATAATCTCCATTGAATATTTAACAATGAATTTTTTTTATATAATCAAAACCATTTTAATATCATTTTTATATGATATATAAATATATATATTTACATCCAACGGTGTAAATTGCTTGATGTTATTTATTTACAAAAGTTATTATTATTCTTATCACTTATGCTTTTATATTTTCTATTCATATAAATATATTAAATAATTTGTTTAATTAATTAAGTAATCTTTCCTTTTCTTTTCTTTTTCATGTTATAAAGTTATGGTAACATTTAATTACTTCCTTTATCATAACCGGTTAGCCTCTTCTCCCATTTTAACATTTTTTTTTCCCTTTCTTTATAGTGTGGGCAGTTTTTTGTGGTGCCATTAGTCCAATTTGAGGGCCCTATCTCTTTACCTAATAGTGTCCACGTATATATGGATTTTGAAGAGTTGACCAAATGTTCTTTGTTCTGAGTGACATTAACTTCTCCAAAAGTCTCCTGTCTTTAACCTTTCCATGCCAAATGCCCTGTTCGCCCCCACAAATCTAAGCTGTTGTACTTAAAACACAATACAGAATTTTCGCCGAATTGAAAGAGAAAATGAACAAACTCTGCCAAACTTATGCTCCTCTTAAAGCTGGAACATTAGGGTAGTTCAGCCAAACTCTTATAGACTTTTATTATTGATTACTTTCATATGATTTATAAGAAATCGAATTGTTCGACTGAAACATAAAATAAAATGGTAATGGTGCTGAGAATTGGTTGAAATCATAAAAAAAATTTGTCAATAATCTCCTTTTGACCTTAGTAATTTGAAGCACCTTAAATTGAATGGTTCTATTTTTATTTTTTTTTTTCTGGTGTTGAGTTTATAGTTGAATATGCTGTTGAGCACATGGAGCATGTCAGAGAGAAACGTGTTTTGACCATACACATCCCAAAATAAATAAATAAATAAATAAAATAATTAATATAACTCTACAGTTAATTTAATTCTCGGCAAATGCAATTTCTTTATTATGCATATACAAATAATAATAGTTTTAATGTAAAATTATAAGCCAATTGCGATGACTTTTGATTGATGCAAATGACCGAAAGCTCAAATCCTCCAAATTTTCTATAATTCTTTTTAACTTTTTAAATTAATTCTTCATTTTAGACTAACTCTTTTAACTTTTTAAATTATTTCTTCATTTTAGACTAACTCAAACTTCGAAAATTCCCCTCTGAACCAAAGAAAAAAAAGGAGAACCTAACTGAAATTTCAATGCAAAACTATTCAAAAATATATATACTATATATAGCACCGTCTTTTTTTAACAAGTCTAGGTTATTCTTTCAGTTTTTAAATCTATGACTTAAAACAATATTATTTACGCAGCTGTCAATTGGAATCAAAAGTGAAACTATAAAACTAATTAATCAGCCTGGAAGAACTTTGTAATCAATTCAACAATAACATCTTGAAAGCTTTTACCTAATACCAAAACTCGCTCTTTCCCTCTTTAATCTTATAAGATTTTCTTTTTTTTTTTTAACTAAAACGACAAGATATTACTGTTTGATTAAAGATGTAGTAAAAAAAGTTGCATACTTTAACAAATATATCATTACCATTATTATATTCATCGAAAAATAACAAAGGTGAAAGAAAATATGGAGCTTGAATGTAAAACTCTACAATTTTTTCAGTAGTTCTCATTGCAAGGAAGTCATGTTTGGTTAGCATTACGGTGCACAAAATGCATATTGATATTAATAAATTTTGTCGCCAACTTCTGAAAATCGTGGATGATCAGCTCTTGAAGAGGTGGCAGGTCACTTAAACCTTGTTCAAACGAATTTGGATTAGGATAGAATCCAGTTTACTAATTATGGGCTAATCATTAATTAATGGTTAGCCCAAAGTTACTAATTCCCCCTGAAATTTTACATTTTTTATGTCGGTATTCACAACTCAATTCAAACGTGAACTCTTTATTTTTTGTTATCTTTTTTTTCGCTCTCTCTTCTCCAAAAAGCAAACCTCATCCGACCTTTTTCAACTCTTTGCCGCTAGTTCTTGATAAAACAACTAATTAAATCAGTCAAATTTCATTGTGTGAACATTTCATGGAGTCAGTATCAGCCCATATCTTTTTTGCAATCACATCTTAAATTACAAAACAAAAAGTTGTTGCTGTATAAAGAAAATAAACACAGTAAATTTTTATCCACTAAAGGTGGTGATGGTGGGATATATGTATATATAGTGGTCATTTCAGGAGTGTACTACTTTTTTAATGGCGGCTGAAGCTGATCAAAAAAGCTGAAAGCTTTTGAAATTCCTTATCGACATATAAAACCACCTACCATTCATTTGAAATCAAAAGCTCTCCTTCAATTTTTGCTCCAAAACCTGCACAGCAGGGTAAGTCTTTAGACAAATTTTTTTTAAATTTCAAGAAAACCGAAAAGAGAAACCCAAAGATTACATTGGTTTTCATGTGCTTACTCAACAAGGTGGCGCACCAAAGAGGTTCAGGTGAGTACGTCAGGTGTCCTCCTGTTGAAGATGGCGGTCCTGAAGAACAACAACAAGATAGTTACAGCCAAGAAATACAATCCCAGTTTTCTCAAATTCAAGAACTGAACCAGCCGATGATGCAACATAGGAATCAAGCAGAAATGTATTTTGGATCACAAAGTCAAGCGACCGAGATGTCTGCAATGGCATCTGCCCTGACACATGTTTTCCCCGGACAAAGAGCTCCTGATTGGGGTTACGGTGCTAAGTTAGCTGGCATGGTCTCCTCTAGTTTTGGACGTAGTGGTTCAGCTGCTTCTCCTTCTTCTTATTCTTCTTCGGCTTCTCCATCTGGTTCTGGTTCCAGTTCTGGTTCTGGTCTATGGATTGGTCAAAAAAGAGGCCGTGAAGAAAAGGATGCTGCTCAATTGATTGAGTCTGTACCAAGGGTTCAAAGAGCTTTTGCTGATTTCAGAGGCTCTCATGCCGATTCATCGTCTGGTGCAAGTGCAACTACGGGTATATATTTTTCATCAATACCACTTTAATCCATGAAGTTTTTTCAATTAATATATTCTTTGCACTGATTTTCATTCTTCTTTTCTGCTTCTTCATCTTCTTTCTCCTTTTTGCCTTCAGTTATCTAGCGAATTCCACTCCTGTTTTCTTTGCTTACATATTCTTTACATAAGATTACATAATCTAGAAAAGACCTTTTATTTCCTTCCTATCATCAGTAATTTAATAAGCCATTTTTATAAGATATAAATTAAATAACTGTTTATTTTAATACTTACATACAATAATAATAAAACTATGTAATATTGCATATCTTTCAACAAGTTATATTGCCTTGATTTTAAGTTTCAATTAGTCAGCTTTGGAAATTGTAAAACATTTGCAAACAGTTTATCAGTTTTCAGCATTACCACCTTCATTCAGGATTCAACCTCTCAATCATTCACCTCAAAGCAATAAATATTTAAGAAGAAGATAGGATTAGCTTTCTTTGTCAATAATCCCACTCTCCATTTTTTTTCTTAACAGTTACTGAAGAAACTACAAACATCGTTGCACCACCAACAACATCAACAGAAACAGTGGCAGCCGCAGCAGCATCGGCATCCCTTGAAGAATCCGGTGAGCGGAGAAGAAGATATAGAGGCGTTAGGCAAAGGCCATGGGGGAAATGGGCAGCAGAAATACGTGATCCGCACAAAGCAGCCAGAGTTTGGCTTGGTACTTTTGATACAGCAGAAGCCGCAGCAAGAGCTTATGATGAAGCTGCCTTGAGATTCAGGGGAAACAGGGCCAAGTTAAATTTCCCGGAAAATGTCAGGCTTGTTCCTCAACCAATGCAGAATTTTCCTGCTACCCAAACATCAGTTTCTAGTTCTCTAACAACCCATTTTCCACCATCTCACTCCATACCAATGCGATCATATTACCAATCCGAACCCCTTCAGAGCTCCACTGCTGATATGCTGAGAGATTATTGGCAGTATTCTCAGTTGCTACAGAGTTCTACTGATTTCCATGGACAACAAGCTACAAGCTTGCTAGAGCATATGATTCAATCTTCTCAATTACCTAATATTCAACAGCCATTACTCTCTTCTTCTTTGCCATCTTTGCCTTCTTCATTTGCAGCTTCTTCTGCTTCTGCTTCTGCTTCTGCTTCTACATCATCTTCCTCCGCTTCTTTTCCTCTGCTTTTTGCTGGGCAGCAACAGATGGGCATTTTCAGGCAGCCATCTAATCAAACTCAGGCTAGTGGGTCAGATTTTCCGTTGCCGCCCTGGTCTTATCCTGGTCATTATCCTTCTTCATCTACTGGTTAATAGTAATCCCATTTTTTTTATAAAAAAATTTATTATTATTATTTTTTTACTTTGAGGATATTTTCCCTGCCATTTCATTTTTATTGTATTTTTTATTTAATTGTTTAACTCTGTATTTGCATGTAGCTAGATTGATTTGAATAAAAAATGAAAAAGAAAAAGTAAAAAGGAACATAAAAATCAGTATAAAAGTTAAGAGGGGATATTAACGAAGAGGCATTTAGGATTTTAGGCATAGTTTGATTCTCAAAGGATTTGATGTTTACTTTCTCTCAATTATCGAACGAAAGATGTAGAAACCAATAGCTTTCTTCAAGCTGTCTGTTGTTTGCTTTACAGCCAAAGATTCATTAAGAATGTACTTTGTTTTTTAATTCTTATTTTAATTCATAATTATCCTTTGCTTATCTGCTCTAATTTGCCCTCGTTAGCAACTATTTTTAAGAGTTTCCCTTTGGTGGTTTGGAGTATCACTTGGTTTTGTCTATGTCTAATTTCTTTTTTAAAGAAATATAACTTTATTCCCCGTTTATGCTTCACCATTACCAAATATGTTTGGTAATTTGTAATTAACGTTACAACCATTGGGTATTATTTGAGAATATTTAGGACTGAAATAATAATTTTCAAACGTTGAGAATTGAGAGTTAAAAACACGAAAACGTTAAAGATTAAAAGTGTAATATTCTTTATATATATATATATATATATTATTTATATATATCACATAACCGTTATTTTCACGTATAAATTCTATTAAAAAATATATTTGGTACTTAACGATAAGACCATTGGTTTAACCATTTGATAACGTCTGAGACTCAAATAACAATTTTCAAACATACTGACAGTGAAAAACACGTAAATATTTGGGACGAAAAATGTAATTGTTGTTATTATTCGAATATCAGATCAATTAAGTAAGCCCCATTTTACAATCACAAAATTTCTTGATTTCAGGTGAATTTTTTTTTCTTAACAAAAAGAAAAAGAAAAAGAAAAACTCTTAATTTGATTCTTTCGTGATTGAGGAAATTAAAAGCACAAAAGAAGAATTGTTATACCATCCCTAAAATATGCATTTAGAGTCCATTTAAATGAGTAGTGAGATTAATTGAGATTAAAAATAATGGTGAAGATAAAATTCGTTATTTTAACAATAAAACTGAATACTGTACGACGATATTAAAATTAGTAGTAGATTATGTGTTTAGATGTAAACATAGTGATCACGATAAAATTAAATATTATGAGATAATAAAATGATAATTAAAGATATAGATTAAAATTTACATGTAATAAAAATTTTAAATTATTTAGTATTTATAAAATAAATAAAAAAATTTTAAAACATTATTTTTATATCAAATAAGAAATAATTAAATAATTAACAAAAATAAATAATTTTATAAATACTTAAAGTAAAAAGTAAAAATAAATTAATAAAAAAAACAATATAACTTTTTTTATCACTTAACTAATTAATAATTAATAATTAAAAAAAGAAAAAAAAAAGAGAAAAGCATGAGAAGATAAAAATGGCAAAAATGGAATAAAACAACAGTAGAAGAACATAGGAGCTCCACCAGACCTTTAAAGGGCATTTGGTTCATGAAATTTTGGATTCTAAGAGAAAGTATGATCTTCGAGAAAATGTGATATCCGGAGTTTTCTTCTATTTTCAAGACATTCTATATTCAAATTTCTTGTTTGGTTGGAGTGAATTTATGTACATTAATTCTTATATAATTACCATAATCTCCTTGACATATATTATAACAATTTCATTTTGTTTTATTAATAATAAATACTCAAACAACAAATGATATCTTTAGTAGCAAAAGAAAACAAATATTTTAATTGATTATTGTTTTTATTTATAAAATATCATTAATTAAGGCGTTAGTAAACATTAACGCCATAATTGATGGGGAAAAAAAGGGTAGAAAAAGGATCAATTAAGGCGTTTGGCACTTTGAACTCCTTAATTGATCATTTTTTAAAATTAAAAATAAAATCAATTAAGGCGTTTGGGTAACTAGTAGAGTAAAGAAAAACTTAATTTTGTGATTTTTTTTTCAACATATACTCACCAACATAGATCATTTCATCAGGGGTGAATTCGTTGAATTGCATTATTTCATTGAAAAGTGACTTTTTTCTATTTGTATTCTCAACTTCTGTCTAGAAGTAAGTTGAAATGTCTTCCATCACATTCACAACCTTATCATATGATGCACCAATTTTACCGATGTGACCAACCAAATCAACGATTGGTCCATCATCGCTCCTAGAATGCTTCTTGCTAGACAATGTTGTCCTAGCATTACTTGGAGTAATAGAACCAATTTCTTCTTCATCATCTCCTATCTCTACATTTCCTTCGGTATGGATGTCAAACTTTGAAGAAAAATAAGCACCTTTGTTAGCATTCAATGATTCAACCACATCGGCTACTATTTTAGCTTTTTGACCAACTGCTCTATCAAATCCGAAAATCACTTTAAAATCATCAAAAAAGGTTTGTTTCTTAACTCTTTAGCATGTGGATGTGCCTGCAAAAAATTCAAACAAATACGAATCAAATAAAACCTATAGAAAAAAAAAACATAAATAAGCAAGGTAAGCCATAATGTAATCTTAAAAAACTTACTCGAACCCACTTATCAAAAATTTTTTTCTCAACTATGATACATTTTTTTTTATCATTCCACCCAAATCCACTAGAATTTTTCATATTACAAATTACATGATATTGTCTCTTAAATAGCTTAACCTTGGATTTGATGTGGGGAGTGGCTTTAAGTTATGAAGTAGGAATGAGTTGCTCCAGCATTCGTTCAATATGACCTAGATATTTGACATGGAATGTCCCATTATCCACTCTTCATCTAGTATCTTCTGCCAAAGAATGTAGGCATTAAACCATATAGAAATCTTTTTTTTGAGTCCATGAATGGTTATCTATGCCTGAACTTTCATTTCTTCTTCTGGGTAGGCCTCGAACAAGTTGTAATGGATTGGCACATAATGAAGACATATGCAATTTCTAATCACATGGTTAGATATTATACAACAATATCAATATAGTAAATCAAAAACCCATCAAAGGAATGAAATAAACAAATACACATGGAAAGAAAACAAACAAATGTATACTCCAAATTATAATAAACATTGGACACTCAAGAATAAAAAAAATAATGTAAACATATATTCAACATTGATATAAAGCAAATTCTACACTTAACCATATGGTAAATATAATAAAATAAATTGAGCAAACATTATAACATACAAAATATTTCTATAAAGTTCTTATCCCTAGGACTGCAACCAATGTGTGAACATATCATAGCCATATTATATTTAAACTAAGTCCAAGAATGAGATGGCACAACATACATAATCAAATCTTAATGTTCAAATTCATCTAGTTGGCTAATATTTTCTTCAGCAATATCATTTTCAATAGGGTCAAAAACCATCTCAGACCTAATAAAATTATGGAGAAGGCAATAAGCAGAAATGATTCTACAGTATATCTTTAATGAATAAAATGACTTCTCCATTAAAATTGCCCATCTAGCTTTCAATATACCAAAATATCTCTTAATACAATTTCTTACTTGAGAGTATTTCATATTAAAGTATTATTGCAAGATCGTCGGTTGGAGTCATGCCTTCCAATCACTAAAATGGTATTGTTGACCTTTATAACATGTCAAGCATCATTCTCTATTTGTGTATCTGACATCACACAAATAATAATTACTTGTTATCCGCTTAACAACATTAATAATATGGAAAAAAGGTGTTCATTATTAACATAACATGAACATAATAAAAATAATATCTTATGGGATCCTCAATCCATTCCTGCGTGTAATGACATCCCTTAACATTCTGTCATCTATTGCAAAACCTTCCCATCTCGATGGAACATATATGAATTGCATACCTAGGATACAAACACCAACGACATTGCTAGCAATTTTATTTTTCTTAGTATTGTATCTAAACTTGTCAACTACGTCTATATTGACTTTGATATATGTTCCATTTAAAGCACCCAAACAACTATTGAACCATTTTCATCTATTATCTATTGAATTTTTTAATATCGATTTGAGTTTTTTAAACAACATCGTATGCAATTTTAAAACAGAATTCAACATAAAATAAAATTATCTACTAATCGTCTCTCCAGATTTGGTCATTTGATGCTTCATAACCGTATTTTTTGTATGATAGGCTATGATGTGAAGGAAGCCAATAACTAGTTCTTCTATTGACTATGTCTATATGGTTATAACCCCCATTCTATTTTAAGCAAATGACATAATTTTGCAAAAGTTTTCTATCCATTCTAGTATTATCTACACATTGTCTATTACTCTCAAAGATCATTGCATTTAAGTTTAACTCACTAATATGTAACCTATCATGAGATGTTCCACCATAAGATAGTCTAAGTCATTTCCTAATGTTCATATGTAATAAAGTTACAACAACAAAACATAGCACATGTAACAAAGTCTCCATCTGGTTCAAATCTATCATAAGCAATATAACCAATTGCATCTTCATTCTTAGTGATAAACCAGCCATAACTATTTGGAAGATAGAATATAGTTAAAGTTGAAAATATAAATGGAAAGCAAATCTTAGCATATGGTACATAGAATCTATCAAACATCATTAAAGAAAATATAAATCAATAACAAAACATTTCTAGATGAAGAAGCTAAAGCAAATAAACCATAAAACAAGGTGTTTATATCAGAAACATAAATCTGGATCTAAACGACTCTACAAATATGAAAAAAAAAAAAAAATAGTGGAAGATAACAAATAATGCAGATAAGATAAAAAGATCAATCAGAAAGCATACACGTCATTTTGTGTAAAAAAAACTAGGATAAACTTAACAGGATGAAGATTAAATGACGGATGTTAAAATTGAAATTGATTCAAAAAGATAAGTAAATGCTATGAGTTGAGATATGTTGAAATAAAAATTAGAAACGTATTGGTTATTGACATATGATAAAGATATCAAATAAAGCATTTCATATATACATACGTCTTATTTAATGTATAAAATATTGGCTTTTCTACTTCACAATTAGGCATTATAACATTTATGTTATCATAATACGATCTTCGAGAGGGAAAACAAAATTTTAATATGGGTAATTAAGGTGTTATAGGAAGAAACACCTTAATCGATAATCAATTAAGGCATTTTTTCATTCAAACCCCTTAATTAATAGAGACTCCAATCTTTATCATACTGTGACTAAAAAGCATTCATGTCATAATATGATTTTTTAAAGCAAAAAAATTTTTAAAAAAGGATGAATTAAAATGTTTCTTCATTGGAATGCCTTAATTGCAAGATAAAAAAAAATATTAAAATGCCACTGATAAAAACTTACAATTGAGTTCCACTCACTTCTAGATATGCTTTTCAAAAGGGTAACGACTATGTGATAATTTTTTATTCAAGTCAAATTTAGAAACAAGGCAACTTTCCCTTTTCTCAAAATTGTAAAATACCACAAAAAGAGATGAGTTTATGATTCCAGGACTTTAG